CATTACAGAGTTTTCATTTGTTCCTTGAAAGAGCTAAGGTGGAAAGGAGAGGCCAACTATGACCATTAACTATAGTCAACTTGAGAAGATGAGATGTCCTCAAGAAATTCTGGACACTTTGATTTGCCACAGAGGAAGAGAAAAGGACACTAGATTTGAGGGCAGAAAGAATCAAATATCAATAATTTGACATGTACCTGTGAGGACTGGGTTGGGGCATGAGGGGTGGGCAGTGGCATTAGAAGGAGGACATAAAGACGAACATGTTCTGAGCAAAACATGGTGGCTGACATACACATACAAAGGGGGCTTAGCGAAACTGCAGAGGACTGATCCTTAAACCAATCACATCTTTGCCAATCTCTGTGACCTGTAGATAAGGAAAAAGAACAAGTTAGAGATTGTTAAGAACCCTAGAAAGTTTATTCCCTATCCCCCTCAGTGAGCATGGTAGACAGGTGTGTTGTTACTGACTGGTAAAGAGCGGTGGGAGCAGCTCTAGCTTTCCCCAGTGTTATGCCTCAAGGAGCTAGAGGAAACACAAGAAAAATAAAGGCCCATCTTGCTTTCTCTTTCCTCAATATCCTAGATATACTGGAGGTGCCAAAAAAATGTATACACATTACAAGCCATGTTATCTATGTACTATGTATAAACTTTGAACACCTCTAGTAATTGCATAAGTCAAATGTGACTTGTATTCATCTTTTGTTATCAGTATATATTATTAAAATTTAACACAGTTATTTCCTTTCTTAAAATTCATATAAATTTTTTTGGTATCCTCTGTAAATATACATATATAAATATTTTTTGAAATTTCTTTTTTCTTGTCTTTTAGGGAGGCAGAATTAGATGTATTTCATGAGGATAGTACTTACTGTAGTGACCCTACAGACTTGACCCTTGAACTCAGGGGAGTAACAGGCCCCACTGAGTGGACACTTCTCTACTGGCTTCCCACGATAGATGGGTCGGTAAGATGCAGCGCAGATATCAAAAGGGTTGTGCATGTCATAATTGAGCTGGTAAGCATCTGTGGGGTTCTTCTCACAGGCAGACAGGATTTTTCGGGTCTAGGGGAAGAAAGGAGTGCTTCAGTTATGACAGAAAACTGCACCCAACTCTAAGGTCATTCTCTGATGTGAAATGCAACTGTACTATGTAGATACAGGTTCCAACCTCTATACAGGATGTATGTAAATGACTGAAAATCATTGTTCCTGTAGTATTGAGCTTCCCCCCCTCAGTATTGAATCCACGGATCTAGACCCACATTCCACCAACTCTGGTGATTATCAGGGTCAGGCCCCAGAAAGGGTTAAAACAAGCTTCCATCACCCAAGAAGAATGCTTTTTGGAGGACACAAGTAATAGGATGTGTCGTGAAGGTTAGTGATGATTGTGATAGGATATCTGGAGCTTATGGATAGGGTATGGGTTATTTTCAGGTGTCACAGAACTTTTCCTGGGTTGCAGACAACTCTCATACTAATAATATGTTTGGATAAATTATTCAGTTTCCAGGAACAAAAGGAAGCAGCCAGGTCAGGAGATAAATAAGGATGGTATTCTGTTGGCTCTTTTTGATGAGTGTTATATATTGCTTTGTTTCAGAGGCAAGGACTCTGGTCTGCTCCCTCCACGTAAGAGCAAATCTGGCTCCCTGTGGTTAACTGAAGGGAGTTTCTACCTGTTGACCCACTTCAGGCTTGGGCCCAAGTTCCAGCAGGCGCTGAGCAAAGGTGGCAGCTGTCTTGAAGTTCTTGAGTTTGAAGAAGAGGTTGAGGGCTGTGCGCAGCACCAGGATCATGTGTACTGACTGCAAGTTGGAGTGGGTGAAGTAGGCTGCCATCTAGGGGCGGAAAGAGGAATATGTGCCAGGCTGATGCCACAGCCGGACAGGTCATTTTTATGCCTATGTAGCCATAGGCACAAAACAAAACAAACAGGACTAGCTATGAAACAGTGAGCAGTCATGCTGGACTGATGAACCATGATGAAATAGACTAAAGAAATGAAGCCTCTCCAAACAGAAACGAACCCAAATTTCTCTTCCTCCCCAGAGTCAGATCTGGGTTTGGAATTAAAAGAACTCAGACCTAAAGGAGAGAGAAGAAGAGGACACCTCTATAGTACTCACAGTCCCTTAGACCTTACCTCACAGATGCGCTTCTGCTGTTCTAGAGTCTCTTTGGGCAGTTTCTTCCTTTCTATCTCCATCGACAAACCCACAATGTATTCACGGCAAATAGTAATGAGCTGCTGGGCCTGGAGGGGAGACAGCTCTGGCTCAGGCTGGTCTTGAACCTATGAGTTCAGGCAATCCACCCACCTCTGCCTCCCAGAGTGCCAGGATTACAGGCATGAGCCACACGTCCAGCCCAACTCAACTTCCCTTTCTGGCAAACATCATCACAACCACCTTCATGGTAAAAGAAGGTAATGGAAGAGAGACAGAGTTGGGGGGCCCAGAACAGGCACAGTGGCTAGACCACTCTTACCTCTGCAATCTCCTGTTTATTATCTACAACAAGAAGTGGCACACTGAGCAGGATAGAACGGAATTTTTCCACTGCCTCCTCAAACTTGCCAACTGTGGTGAGCTGGTAGCATAATTGCAACCGTTGGATCAAGTCATTGAACTTTAAGCCCACAGCTGGTACACCATTCTTCAGCCCTGCATCCTTCCTGGAAAGGGAAAAGTAGGAAGATAGGATAGCCAGTTGCCAAACAGGACACAACTTTTCTCTCTCTTTTCTTTTTTTTGAGTTTTAAGACAGTGTCATTTTGTTGCCCTCGGTAGAGTGCCATGGGGTCATAGCTCACAGCAACCTCAAACTTCTGGGCTCCAGCAATTCTCTTGCTTCAGCTTCCCGAGAAGCTGGGACTATAGGTGCCTGCTACAACACCTGCCTATTTTTAGAGATGGGGTCTCGCTCTGGCTTAGGCTGGTCTTGAGCTTGTGAGCTCAGGAAATCCATCTACCTTGGCCTCTCAGAGTGCTAGGATTATAGGCGTGAGCCACTGTGCCCAGCCTGACTCAATTTCTCTGTTTGTCAAACATCATAACAACCTTCCTCTGAAATTAGCCAGAGAATAGTACAGCAGCAGGTATAAACCTCAAACCACACAGAATAACATGCCAAATAACTGTATCACTGAGACACCATGTGAAGTACCTACTACATCTTGTTTTTATTAAGACAGTCTTACTCTGTTGCCCAGGATAGAGTGCTGTGGTGTCATAGCTCACAGCAACCTCAAACTCTTGGGCTTGAGCAAACCTCTTGCCTCAACCCTCCTGAGTAGCTGGGACTACAGGCGTGCACCATCATGCTTGGCTTATTTTTCTATTTTTTAGTAGAGATAGGGTCTCACTCTTCCTCAAGATCCTGAGCTCAAGTGATCCACCTACCTTGGCTTCTCAGAGTGCTAGGATAACAGGCGTGAAACACCACACCCAGCCTACCACAACTTGGGACAGAAGGAGAGAAGGAGCGAAGGGCCTTACCAATTACGATTAGGGTAGCCATACATGGAGGGCAGGCAGGGCAGAGCCTGATAGGTGGTGCGGCCTCGGGCATATGTCTGTAGGAACAGCTGCTTATAGGGGCCAAACTGGATTACCCCTACCTGATCATGAAGGAGCTGGAACACAGAAGGAAAGAAACACAGGATTTTAGGTGCTGTTACTTAAGAACAAAAGGACCTTAAGCAAGGTATTTAACTTCTCTGTACTTTTTCCTCATCAGTAAAATACACTAACTAAAAGACCAACCTCAATTAATAATACCCATAAACTACTTAGGACAGTGTCTGGCACACAGTGAACACTGAAGAAATGCTGGTGGTTGTTGCAGTCGCTATTATTATCATTGATTTTATTATAATACATGGCTTATTGTTCAAACAGATACACATTCAGGATGGGATGCTAAAATAACCTCACCGATACAAGCCAGAAACAGGCAGTAAATGGGCGGAAGATGGCTAAAGGATCCACCTTAAGAGACTGCATGGCCAAGTGGGAAGCAGGAAAGAGGAACGCCTTATGAGGCAGGTATGCTTAAGCAAGACCAAAGGCTTCCATAAAATATAAACCTCTGGTCTTGTTGGAAGGAACATTTCCTTTTGGTTAAATGAGTCAACTGTCTCCTTGAGACCCTGAGCTAATACGTAAAAGGAAGAGCCAAGATTAAGATGACTTACCCGCATGGCTGTTTCAAAAGAGCCTGCCAGGATGTGATCAACTGGAAGCTGAGAGTTATTGCACCAGATCTAATAAGAAACAAAAAACTCAGGCCAAGTGAAATTTTGCCCTTTCTCTTCCCAAATTTTCCTCCTCCATACCTATAGTAGAAAAATATCCAACACTTTTTATATATTAATCAAATGTTAGCCAGCTCAGAACTACTCATCCCTACAGGACTGTGTTTTCCTGCTTACCTGAGTGGGGCTTGTTCCCTTGGTTGGGGGCACAAAGAACCCATCCTCAGCCCCACCAGCTGCTCCAGAGGGTATGTCCTAGAGGAAAAACAAAAATTGAGCCACTTTGTTCTAATGAATCTAAAATACAACTATTTACACCTTGTTCCCTGCTTCTGTTGGGAAGGATGGGTGGTAGTTATGGGAGGTGATCCCTCAAATAGACACCCCCTCACTAGTGACAAAGTAACATACATACCAAAAGCTCCAATTCAGATTTATTTAAAAAAAAAAAAGCTACTTGTCTCTTCCTAAGCTACTGCTTACACAACCCTGATTCTTCTTTCTTCCAAATGGGACAAAAGCATGAGATTAGTGGTGGGTCCTGGATCCCCTGCTCTTTGGGTCTATCAAGGTAGATGGAAGTGATAAGGCCTCTGCCTCTCATTCGTCCTTCTTTCAAATGGGAGATAAGCATCAGATCAGAAGGAGAGTCTAGATTCCCTTCCATTTGGAGATCTCTGGATAGATAGGGATGGGGGCCAGTAAGGCCAGTATGGAGAGAACCTCACAAGGGTAAGAATTACACATACCAGCTCAGGAGGGAGCTCCAGATCTTCTTCTACATCCCAGCCACCTCCTTCCTCCTGTCCTTTGCCGAGAGCATCATCCCCTAAACCTTCTGTAGCCTCCACAAACCCATCTGTAAGGTAAATCCAAGTTCAAAATAGATTTGGGTGGTGGCACAATTGGCCAAATGAAGCAAAATGTTGGAATCCTATTTGGCTTCATCAGAACTTCCTCACACCCCAGTCCCAATTCAGGGAGTCTGTCTTCCCAGAGCAGCCCTAAAACAGCACTCTTACCTTCATCCAGCTGCAGCTCTGCATCCTCTCCCCAGCCCTCAGTACCAACAGTGTCAATGTCAATGTCAGCAGCCAGTGCTCCTCCCTTCCCTACAGAGGGAAGGAAAAGAAAGGAGCTCATTATAGCCTAACAAGTCTGAGACTCTGAGATACACGACCTTCTTCGCAGGTCACGTATCTTATAGCCTTGTAAAAACAGGCAGGTACACCAAAGTTCTCTCCACTTATTATTTTTATGTGTCATTTATTTTTGCGGCTATATACGTTATGCCAACTTGTAGAAGGTTTCACAGAAACCTCCTCCATACCTATAGTAGAAACCTCTACAAGTAGAAGGTCTCTGTAGAAGAAACCTTTCACAGAAGGAAGGGATACAAGAGAGATGGATGCAACTGGCCTTCTTGCTACCAAAAACTGGCTTTTTTTTTTTAAAAACAAAGTCTCACTTTGTCACCCTCAGTAGAGTGCTGACACGTCACAGCTCACAGCAACCAAAGTCTTGGGCTCAAGTGATTCTCTTGCCTCAGCCTCCCAAGTAGCTGAGACAACAGGCACCTGCCATAATGCCCACCTATTTTTTTAAAGATAGGGTCTCACTCTTGCTCAGGCTGGTCTTGAACTCCTGAGGTCAAAGCAATCCACTTGCCTCAGCCTCCCAAGTGGTAGGATTACAGGTGTGAGCCACTGCACCTGGCCCAAAAACTGGCTCCTAAACCATTTTTACCAAAAAAGTATTTTTACCTAAACCATTTTTAGTAGACTTTGGCTACCAATTCTTAGAATGCTTTTAACCAGCTTCTGAGACTGCACTATAACTTTGATTGGCATTTCAGTGCTCCAGGAGGCTTCATACAGAAAAAAGGACAGATGAAACTAACTGAGAAGGGTCCTCCTTAGGACAGTTCTTCACAAACTTTCTCACAGTAAGGCCAGTATGGAGAGAACCTCACAAGGGAAATTTCTCACTGTGAGAAAATGCTGTGAGAGAAGTGGGCACTTACCCTTGCTAGCAATGGAGCCTTCAAAGAATCCTTTAGACACAGTCAATAAAGGCCAGTTGGTATCTAATGGCATGATAGGTGCAGGTGGCTGGAGCAGCTTGGCATTAGGGTCAATGTCTGGGATCTAAATGGCAGCAGAAGAAAAAAGGCTAAGAGCAAAGAGCTCTCAGAAACCATGTAGGGAAAGTTGAGCTTCCTGTGATCTCATTTGTTTCTCTGCCTCCCCTGGTAATGAGGTAGGAGAGTGACATTGCCAGTTTTAAATTGTTCCAAGACCTCATAGTTAATCCTGTAATCAGAGACAATTATGTAAATAAAGACTCACTGTCTCCTTCTCTGGGTCAAATGACTCCTTCAAGCTTTCAGCTTCTTCATCTAAGCCATGGGTAGCAGCTGTGAGGTAGGCCAAGGACTCTATGGGAAAAAGAGACTTTGTGGTACAGGTGATTTCAAGGTGAAGGTTGCTGTGGCAGGCATCCTCTAAGGTAGCCCCCAAATGATCCCTGCCTTCTGGTATTCAAATTTTTGCATAACACCCTTCTACCTTAAGTAGGAGTCAGACTTACCTAGCTTCTAATGAATATAACACAGCAGAAGTGATGGAATGTCACTTCCAAGATTTGGTTACAAAGACTGTAGTTTCCACCTTGGGTGCCTTCTTTCCTTACTTGCTCTGAGAAAAAAACCACCTATCATGTGAACTACCTATAGAGAAGCCAACATGGCAAGAAACTGATGTTCTCAGACAACAGAGAGTCCTTGAGGACATAAGGACTACCAGCAGTCATATGAATGTGGAAGTGGATTCTCCCCCAGTTGAGTCTTGAGATGTCTGCAACCCTGGGCAACACCTTTAATGTAGCCTCATCAGAGACACTTCCTAAGGCCCCAATGGAGCTGGTGAGTCCTGGACAGATACTTACTCTGCCCACAGTTCTTTAGGATCCGCACACGCTCTGACACATCACCCAGGTACAGGGCATTCTGATAATGGCCACTCATGTCCTTTCGGATCTCAGCTGCACCAAGTCAATAAGGGACTCCAGTTAGGTCTTCTCTCTTAAGTTCTCTTTACCCTCTATTCATCTTCCTCCTTCCCCCAAGGACCTTTCCTCCCATCCTTAGTTTTAGGAGCCTCACCAATCTTCATCATCTTGCGAAGTTTCTCTAGGTTGCCAGTGATAAGGTACAGGAAAGAAAGCTTGTCAAAATTTTTGGTACGCTGATAGCACATTTCCACAATCTGGTGGTTCCCCTGTAGCAAGGCCACTTCACCCAGCTTTTCCCAGCAGTTCTTATCATCCAGTGCTTTGGCTGCTTCCAGAGCAATCTAAAAAGTCCCCAGGGTCAGTGTTAACAGGCTGGAGGATACTGTGATTCAAACCAGGGACTCTGCAGTCAAAGCATTTGCCTCTAAATTATTTTCTCAAGGAACTTCCTATACTTTCAATCACGCCTAGCTTTTAATATAATTCTATTGAAAATTCTATCAACAAATATGCTCCCTTTGGATCCATGGATAGAATAATCACATCACACTATCCAACTTAGAAAGTTACCTTACAACAAAGTTTCCTAGTAGCTGCTGATCCCAAAGGGCCAGTTGTTTTTTTTTTTTTTTTAGAGACAGAGTCTCACTTTATCACCCTTGATAGGGTGCTGTGGCATCACAGCTCACAGCAACCTCTAACTCCTAGGTTTACGTAATTCAACCTCCCGAGTAGCTGGGACTACAGGTGCCTACCACAAAGCCCGGCAATTTTTTGTTGCAGTTTGACCAAGGTCAGGTTTAAATCAGCCACCCTTGGTATATGGGGCTGGCGACCTACCCACTGAGCCACAGGCGCTGCCCAAATGGCCAGCTTTTGCTTAGCTACTTTATTTCCTACCTGCCAAGTATAAAGGGACAGCTTGGCGCCTGTGGCTCAAGTGGTTAAGGTGCCAGACACATACACCTGAGCTGGCAGGTTTGAATCCAGCCTAGGCCCGCCAAACAATAATGATGACGGCAACCAAAAAACAGCCAGGCCTTGTGGCAGGCTTGTACTCCCAGCTATATGGGAGGCGGAGGCAGGAGAATCGCTTGAGCCCAGGAGTTGGAGGTTGCTGTGAGCTGTGATGCCAGAGCACTCTACCCAGGGGGACGGCTTGAGGCTCTGTCTCAATAAAAAAAAAAGATCCATAGGGACTGTATGAGAGAAGGAAGAAATAATAAAAGGAGGAGATTCAGAATTTAAAAAATAATTTTCTTAAGCCCTTTCTCCTTTGAAAATAATACCTTATAATCTGAGCCCCCAAACTTAATAGGTCCTCCAACTAAGTAGTGAGTCAGCAAGATCAAATATTAAGAAAATAATGAGGCTTGGCGCCTGTGGCTCAAGCGGCTAAGGCGCCAGCCACATACACCTAAGGTGGCGGGTTCGAATCCCCAGCCCGGGCCCGCCAAACAACAATGATGGCTGCAACCAAAAAATGGCCAGGCGTTGGGCGGGCGCCTGTGGTCCCAGCTACTTGGGAGGCTGAGGCAGGAGACTCGCTTGAGCCCAGGAGTTGGAGGTTGCTGTGAGTGTGATGCCATGGCACTCTACCCAGGGGGATAGCTTGAGGCTCCGTCTCAAAAAAAAAAAAAAAAATAATGAGATCTTCACACTTCTTGTCATCTTGTTTTTATCCTAGAAGTTACTGAATTCAGTATGACAATAATAGTACAAATGCTATGGCAGAAGCAGAGGCAGGAAAAAGCAGAGATGAACAAATAACAGGAAGACAGCTCAATCTAACAACTAAACAAAGTCTTGAATTTCATTATTCTGGCTCAAGAAGCCCAGAATAATGCCTTCCCAAGGTCACCTTAATCCTCTGACTTCCTCTAAAACAACATAGGACTGATGACCATATTCTTCTCACCTCAATGTTTCCACACTCCAGTGCCAGACTAAAGCGAGTTTTCTCATCCTTGACAAAATGCAGTGCCACTTCTGGATAGCCTTTCTTCTGGAGATAAGCAATAATAGACTGGCCTACTAATTTGGCATTCCTCACCATGTGCAGTACCTAGGCATGTAGGGAGGGTAGGGTAGGGCAGGAAGCAGAGGTCACTTACAGCATAAAAAAGAGTGCTTCCCCCCTTAATGCTCCGAGTATGCACTCTCACTTCATACCTCATCATATTTTCTGTTGATCAGGGCCAGCTTGAATTTGAACTCAGTGGGATCAATGGTGAGTACCCGAGGACGACACTCCCGGTCTAGGCAATATACATTGTTGCCTTTCACTCGTGTAACATAGATGGGCAAATCCAGAGTTCGAATGATCCCATGATCCCTAAGCATAAGTGGTAGAGGGCACAACTTTCAGTAAGTGAGAGAAAAAATCTAGCCTGTGAAAGAATGGAAAAAACTTTGAACACTGCACTTTGTCCTCTCATTACCCTTCTGTGAAGTGCCATTTGAACAAAAATGCAGGAGAGAAATGATTCAAAAAAGAGCAGGACTAAACACCAAATTTTATTTCATTCTTTTGTATGATGGGGTAAAAGGTGTCTTGTTTTATAAGCTGTTATTCTAGGAACTAAGTAACAGACCTGACCACAGGAATCAGAACTAAAAGTTAAAATATGAAGTTCTGATATATAATCAGTAGGCTACTATGGATAGGTAACTCCTTTAGAAATTATAGTGAAATTAGAAGACAGGTAGATGTGAAGAATTCTGACATACCAAGAAATAAAGAAAAGCAGAACTGAATGGTAACAAAAAGATCACAAATGAAAACTTGTTGATTTCTCAGGAGAAATACATGAGGGGTTAAAAAAAAATCTTGTCAATATAGCAAATGCAATACTTGGCAAATAATTTATAGCCTTAACTGCATGCAATATATTGAAGAAATACTGAAAATTAATGGGCTCTATGTGCACATGTTGGGAGAGACTAAGAATTAGTGAATATATGTCTTAAAAGTTTTATTGTTCTTTTAAAAGGCAAAGCAAAGAAAGCATTTAGAAGAAAATAATAAAGCTAACAGTAAATTAAGAAATAGAAAACAAGATTTTCCAACATTAACTCAAAAAGAAATAGAAAACTCCTATATAGTCTTGTAATTGTTAAACAAAATAAACTGAATAGGATAACAAAAATCTTCCAATAAAAAAAGCCTCAGGCTCATATGACTTCACTGGTAAATTCTAACCAAAAGTCAAGAAAGAATTCTTATCTATGCAAATTCACTGAGAGAACAGAAAAAGGCACATTATTTTGCTTACTTTAGGATATAAATATAATCTTACTACCAAAACCTGAGGACAGAAAGAAAAAGAAAAATCAGTCAATCTCACTTATAAATAAAGATGCAAAAATCCTAGCAACCTAAAACTAGTAAGGTTGGAAAGGGTAAAAAAACACATCATGATCAAGTAAGGTTTCTATCTGGAATATTAAAACTGATTTAACATTAAAAAAAAAAATCAACTGAATTCATTACATTTATTGGTGAAAGGAGAAAAAAATCATATGAGACTACCTTAATCCAGGTTGAACATCCCAAATATGAAAATGCAAAATCTAAAATGCGCCAAAATCCAAAAAAATTTTTTTTGAGACAGTCTCACTTTGTCACCCTTGGTAGATTGCTGTAGCATCATAGCTCACAGCAACCTCCAACTCGTGGGCTCAAGTGATTCTCCTGCCTCTGCCTCCCAAGTAGCTGGGACTATAGGTGCCCACCACAATGCCCAGCTGTTTTTAGAGATGAGGTCTCACTTTGGCTCAGGCTGGTCGGTCTTGAACCCATGAGCCCAAGCAATTCACCCACCTTGGCCTCCCAGAGTGCTGGGATTACAGATATGAGCCATTGTGTCGGCTCAAAATCCAAAGTTTTCTGAGTGCCAAAATGATGCCAAAGGAAATGGTCATTGTAGTGTTTGGATTTCAGATTTAGAATGTTTAGTGATAAATGTTCCAAATCAGAAAAAAATCTGAAATGCAGAATACTTCTGATCCCAAGCACTTCATATAAGGGAGACTCAACATGTATAGGCAGTCCTGAGTAACAAACGTCCAAGTTATATAAAGGTTACCATAAAGATAATCAGAAGACAAGAAATTAATATTTGCAACACATAGCCTCAACAAAGGACTTATCAGTCCAAATATTAATTATACAAATCAATAAGAAAAATGACAGGTAAAAAATAAAGACTTGAACAAAATTCATAGAAGAGGAAACCCTAAAGGACAGGTAGATAAAAAGGTCCTCAAACTCATTAAGAAACAGAGACTAGGGCAGTGCCTGTGGCTCAGTGGGTAGGGTGCTGGCCCCATATACTGAGGGTGGTGGGTTCAAACCCACCCCCAGCCGAACTGCACCAAGGAAATAGCCAGGCATTGTAGCAGGTGCCTGTAGTCCCAGCTACTTGGGAGGCTGAGGCAAGAGAATCGCCTAGGCCCAAGGAGTTGGAGGTTGCCGTGAACACTATGGCACTCTACGAGGGTTAATAAGTGAGACTTTGTCTCAAAAAAAAAAAAGAAACAGAACAAAATAAAATTAAAATGAAATACCATTACACATCCACCAAATGGATAAATAAATCTAACAAATCCAAGTGCCGGTTACAATGACAAGTAAAGAAACTTTCCTACAAGGCTGGTGGACATGTACTAGCACAACCACTTTGGAAAACAGTTTTATACTGCCTAGTAAATGGGAAGATATGCATACTCTATAGTCCAGCAATTCTACTCTGGGCATATATACTAGAGAAATGCATGTACATGTGCACCAGAAAACATGTAAAAGAATGTTTAAAAGAACACTGTTCAAGTCAAAAAGTAGAATTGACTCAAGTATTCCTGAAGAGTAGAACTGACTATGATATGATCATGTAATGGAACATTATACAATATTGAAAGTAAATAAACCAGAGCTACAACATGGATGACCCTCACAAACAAAACAGTGAGCAAAATGCAAAGTAAGATGTATATGACTTCGGTATGATTTCATGAAGTTCAAAACCAGGCAAAACTAAATGCTATTAAAACATAAATTAAGTAGTAAAATGACAAAGAAAAGCAAGGAAGAAATCCCCATAAAAATGACAATGTTATTTTGTGGTGGAAAGGAAAGGGGTTGTGGTCAATAAGGACCACATGGCAAAGGGCTTCTTGGATGCCAGTACTGTTCTATTTATTGGGTGACAGTTATACAGATGATCACTACATAATTTATTTGCTGTTTTGTATATCTATAATTTATATAATTCTTTATGTATGTGTTATATTTCACAGGTTTTTAAAGAGTTGAAAAAAGAATGTTCAGATGCCCTTGGCACATATATGCCAGATAAGGCTTTTCCATAAGGAAAGTTCATGGGAGATTTTAGCTGTATCTCAAGACAGGACAATCATTTCATGAAGCTGCCTTCTCCCGCTCTGTATCCCAGATAATTAACTTACCCAGTGGTGACAGCGTATTTGATGTGGTTGCTTGTGGTATAGATAAATACCCCACTCTCATCCCAGGCCCCACTCTTGACACGAATGTTCTCATGAATGTTACATAGAGCATCCAGTTTGCGGTTACAGATCACAATGGCTGTAAGAGGCAAAGGGCATGAGTGCTCTGCTGGACAGGATGAGTGCAGTAGATTGGCAGGGATGGGGGGAGGGGAGGACTGGTCTCTAAATCAAGGTGGATATAATGAGGACTTACCATGTTTGGCTAGCAGTGCTACATGTGACATGTCTGCTGACCAGATAACATATTTCACCTTCGAAATCTTTACAGATGCCAGAGTCCTGAGAGAGCGAGAAATCATGAATGGATCTGACTCCCTTATCTCAGGCTATGACCTACATCCTTTCACCCCTAAACTAATGTAAACCCCAATTTCTTTCTTTCTTTTCTTTATTTTTTTTTGAGACAGAGTGTCATTATGTCGCCCTGGGTAAAGTGTCATGGCGTCATAGCTCACAGCAACCTCAAACTCTTGGGCTCAAGCAATTC